TCTTCCAGATACTCCTCTCTTGCCTTGCCGTCGCTACCATTTCTACAATATATATATATATATCGATCTGTATATACATATATTAATTTGATATACATGCTTTGTATTCAGCAAATAGATAGACACCAAATCTTAATTGTGGTATATAGTAACCTCATGTTTTCGCTATACTGTGATCTCATCTCTGTGTTTCTGGCCTTTCAAGAGTGGATTCTTTTCACCGACTGCCCAGTGACCCACCCCCACCGGCACCCCGGTCTCCACCGGTCTGCACCGCAGAAACTGACGCGTCGCGTCGCGTCACGCGTCGCCCTTTTTTCGGCGTCGGCCACGGACCGCAGTGCAGACCTCAGCTCCTCCAGCACCGCAGGGCGCAAGCGCGGTGGCGGACCGTCCTCGCAGTGCACCGGGCATGAGGAAGCCCCCCCTCGCTGGTGGACTGGTCGTTCGCGGTAGACCAGGTGGACCAGGTAGACCAGGGGCTCCAAGTGGTTTTGACCCATGGCCATGTCATGGCCATGTCATGAAAGTGGGGGCAAATTGACCTGGAGCTGCCTGGCTGAAAACTGTTCCTTCACTTGTCATCATGACTCATCGACCTTCCACGCAGCGGCACGGGTGACACGTGCATCCTCCAACCCTTCACCTGGTCAGACCTGGGTGACACGGGTGACCGGACTTCAGCGCATGGAGCCTTGCATGACCCGACCGTCTAAATAAGCTCGGATGTTTCACATGAAAGATCCATGAAAGCAAGAATCACTCTGCTGCTTGGTCTAGACCATGCTTGTCCAAGAGCTTCTTTTTCAACAAAGAACTCTCCAAGACGTCGCCAATCGGGGCACCTTTTCACTGAGGTCTGCTGGCTTCCACCATCTGCCGGCTCAATCCCGTCCAATTCCAAGGGTGTCCCGGACCCACCCGTCACATGGACCTACTTAGGAAGCCGGGACTGAGCGAAACCGAGGAAAGGGACTAGACATGAGGACTGTGATCCCTTCCGAACCCTCCCCAAGCAAAAAGGACTTGCGATGTCTTGAGGTGTCAAATAAAAATCCATCAAAAGTCCCTTAGACTTGATTCTTGATGTGGATCCATCAAGTTCTTGGGCTTTTCCACTCCTCAAACCTTCCACCACCAGGACCACAGGCGGATCAACACCACTCTCGACTGCGCAGTGTCCATCTGGGTCTGGACGCTTCCACCAGCGCCAAAGCAAGGAAACCTCGAGGCCGCCGCTTCGAATCGCCCGAAACCACCACACAGAGGGACCCCTTCAAGTCATGGGAACGGTTCACCACCCGTCCCACCCGTCCCATCTCCCCTCCCATCGCCCCTCCCATCGCTCCCGCCATCGGCTCCAGGTCACGCCAGGCGCCACCAAGCACAGGGCCCCAGGAGCTGCGCCAGTTCTTCACGCCAAGTGCTCCGGTAGTCTCCAGGCTCAAGGCAAAAGACCTGCCCCCGATGAGGCTTTCTGATCCTTTCTTCGCAACATTCGTGGAGTCGAGTTAGGAGCGAACATCGTGGTGTTCAAAAAATGGTTCAATTGCAACTTAATACCCAAAAATCAGATTTGGGTCGGGTCTTCTAGCAGGAGCGAGGCTCAAAAACCATGTCGCTCAACCCAACTCTCATGGCGGGGAAGCGGAGAGCACCTCCACCCGAGATTGACCAGCCGGATCCGATGAGAAAAAACCTCCTGCCTTGCTCCCGGGCAGCTGGATGATGGGAGCTTTCAGGGTCTCCAACACAGTGATGCCCTGAAAAGCCAAGCCTTGGCCGAACACAGGGATGCACAAATCACGCGCGCACGAGATTTGCGCACACGGAAAGCGTGCTCAGGTGGACCACATGGGGATATGAACTCAGATGTGATGAACACATATGAACACATATGAACACCACAAGAGAGCAACTTCCCAGTAATCAACCACTGGGTGCTGTATTATCTGTAGAAACCCCTTAAATCATGTCAGTGACTGTCTCTGCCATAGCTCCAAGTCCTCTGGCTGCAGCCTCCTCTTGGCATGATCTTCACGGAAACGGCTTTGGGCCAAGCTGATGCTAGGAACCCTTAGAACTCTTGGCTCCCAAAGTAAGTCGACTTTTGGCAAAAACCCCAAGAAAAACCTCCTAGCCAAGAGATTGAAAGCCGTAGAACCGTAGACATCGCAGTGACGGGGAGAAACCGGTTCTGGTCCTCAGCTCGAGTGACGGCCAGCTGACGTTCAGGCGATCCGACGTTCGCCAGAAGAACGGGGGAACCTCTGGTGTCGTTTGTGGCAACTGGCATCACCGGGTGAAACCTCAAGCACTCCCATAATTCATCCACACCCACCACACCCCACCACCAGTTCCGAGCTCAGAAACGCACGTGCCGCAGCAGTGGAAGCAGCAAGAAGAGCGCCGTGATCGTCAACACCAACAGCACTGTGATCTCACTCCCCAGCAGGGCCTGACCCACCAAACCATGCACCAGAAAAGCACCGTATGTTTTTCAGGAGTCCGTGGACCCAAACCGCCAACCCTGCCCCCCCCTCCCCGGTAGATCCTGCCAGATCCTGCCGGATCTTGGAGGAGCCGTACGGGCAAACCCAAGCGGGCTCGGAAGCTCCGCCGGCTCCCCGGGTCGGGGTTTGGTGGTTGGGAGCTCAATAGATGATGTCGACAGCATCTGCACACTGCAAAGAAGGTTTGTAATAGCACTTGGGGGTCTGCGCACATCTACTTAAAGGCAGGTCATTGATGATTGATGTCCGACTGAATCATGTCATGCGTCCATGCACTGCGGCCTGATTTCGGGCAGAAGGCCATCTATGGATTTGCAGCACCCGTACCCGTCAGCTACTCGTACCGGTCATCGACCGTCCTAAGGAGATCGTAACGATCCATGGAACTCCTCCGTAGCAGGAATGGAGATAAGACCTCCAGGTTTCTTCATGTCACTGCAAGAGAACAAAAGAATATCAGATCATGGCCGTTTCAACTCCAGTCTTAAAGTTAAACTGGTCGAAGGACGGAACTCCCCCTATATTAAACATGAATTTCGGATTGACATTCCTCGCGACGCAGGCGGAACCTTTTCATCCTGTCGCGACCAATCATCGCGCAGCACTGAGCTCGGCGTTACACGCTCAGGAGAACCTGAGCAGCACGCCATTTCCGGAGTGAGGTCTCAGGTGGTTTGCGTCATCAAGATCTTTCGGGTCGAGGGCGTTTGCTTGGGTGTACATAGTGAGGCATTCACTGTACACCAGTGGTGTCAGGCGACCCGACACTATAATTACACCCCAAAAACGACCCGACATGGGTGTACACCAGTGGTGTCAGTATCGCTTTCCAATAATTTACTAGCACAGCTAAGCTACAAGCCGCTTTCTCGGGAAGATCGGCTGACTATTATAATATCCATAAGTACAACAAACTACAACATCTATACATCAACAGTGAACACGTTGAAGCCCAATGACCCCCATCCCTCCAACCGTTCCGACCGCAGTTGTTTCACGCACACAGCCCACCCGGGATCGCCTCCGATCTGCCCTGCGGAAGCCGCGTTTTGGGCGTCGGCACGAAGGGTGGCAAGGGCCAAGCGGGTTGTCCTTTGATCCGCGGTGGCGCCAGCGGCGCTTGCGCCAACTCTTCATGCTCTGCAGCCTTCCCGACCTCCACGCCGAAGCAGCGGCTCGAGCTGCCTTGAACCTGGCAACGGCAAAGGAGGGGTTCTTGGTTCTTATAATTAGGGGAGATGTTCAACCAAAGCCAGTTATAGCTGCGAAGAATGAATTCACCACAGCCACTAAACCTCACTGCGACGCAGAACCGCCAATGCAGAACCCTCCACCCATCCCACCTCAAAGTGTCCCTCGCACATGGCGTCGTACGAGACGCCAGGCACATCGCCTTCGACGCCTCGAAACATGACTCGAGCTGCCAAGAGCCGTTGGCTCGTGTTGCTTCCCTTGGAGGAGGCGCCGATGTAGTTGCCTCGTTTTCAAAACACGTGGCGCGGGCGGAAAACGGCGGCGCACGTGAAGAGAACGGAGGCCCGTTTGGGAAGAAGTGTTGCTTAAGCCACAACTCATGACCAGGAAGGTCGTTTGAGAGGATGGTTGATGTGGAGGAGTCAATAGTCATGAGTTACAACCCAATGTAACCGCCACCATCTTGAGCATCTCTGGACATCCTTTCGCACCCGTGATCTGCGACGAAAGAACTCGTGATCTTCCATCCCCTCTTGGACCCCTCCGACCCCCCCGACCACTCAGCAGCGGTGAGGCGCTGTAGGCATAGAGAGCGATCCAACTTTCGCCCCTGGCGGCATAGCCCCCCACCCACCACGCTGGAGTAGCCGAAGGAATCGGTGCTGCAGGAGTTCGGGAAGTCGTTCCTGCCTGAGGACGCATCGAACGGCGCGTGGCTGCCGTTTGGACGAACGGTGCGTGGCGTTCCGCGGCGTGGAAGCGATCGAAGCGTGACGGCTCCAAAGTCTCGAAAGTGGCTCGATGAAGCCTAAGCTTAATAGGCTTCCTGGCCCACGAATTCGGCGGGTCATACCGAATCAACTAAGGATTTTTCACTACAAAAACCAGGTCAACCATGTGTTTAATGGTCTTGGAAGTCTAGGGTCATATAGATTTGCTGTTCACTCTTAAGGATCTTATCCAGGATAGATTGAAAATCGAATGAACATTTACTTGCTCCACTGCAGTACCTTCATTTGATGCCATGCAGCTCATGCTGATGTCTTCAGCAACTGATAAGATATGATAAGATACTTGGGTGCTTGGCAGGGGATTCATACAAGTCGGTTTTGCGCAGATCGGTAATTTTCCTGATGTTGGGCAGTCTCCGCCATCATACTCTGCATGGATACTTTGTCAATGTCTTCCATGGATTTGTCAAGCCACTGTTGAGCCGCGGTCCCAGCGGTTCTGCAGGTCCCGCCACTGGTGTTCTATGTCGAAAGCCTCGTCAAAAGCCACTAGGTCACTAGGTCTGAGGAAATGGACGCTCTATCTATCCCCTCTCAAACCTCTTTCTTGGCTTACACCCGGGAAGATTAACCCGGAACCTAAACATGGACCTTTGGAAGACAAGTTCCCTCTACACCCCAGTGGTGTTCAGGTTCCATGTTAATCTTCCAGGGCGTACATCTCATGTCTTTGGTGGCTTTCACCGCACTCAGGGAAGTGAAAGCTGCTCCAGTCGAAGCTCACAGCTAGCACAACACGTTCAGGACATAAGTTGAAATCTGCTGCATCCTCGCTGCAACATGCAGCCCAGCACTGCCCCGGCAACTCACGCGCAGGGTGCCAGCTAATGAACCCCTTCTCTTGAAAAGAAAAAGGACACCTAGCCTAGCCTTTCTGGCCGCCAAGGTGCTAAAGCTTTTGTCGCCCTTCACACAGTCAAGCACAAAGGCTGTGCATAAGTAGCTGGTCTTCACACCGGTGCTATCACACATCGTTCGATTGGATCTGTGCGGCGTTGCTGCTCTGATCTGGTGAATCACACTCTCAAAGATTTCCTCAACTGCCCAAGGCACCACAAAGGAAAACAAGAAGCATGTCATGTGAAAAAAAAAAAAGATGTGTGTCTATGCCACGCAAATCGTCAACTTTGGGAATTGGAAATACTCGTGTCTTTTCTTCCGAGAATCCCGGATTTGAATTTATGTAGTTTCCAGCGAAAAGCACGCACACAAGTAGAAGCGTCATGAAAAAAAACGTTCCCACTCTTGATGTAAAAGCATGTATATAACTGTTTATTGGTGTCAATATCGATATAAGTCTGTCTGTTTCATTCTTAAAACCCACAAGTTTGCAACAATTTTTGGAGGGTTTCTGATGCTCAAGCAAGGGCTCAAGTTCTTCGAAGCAATATTTGAAACACCCTGGCACATAGCCTGTCCCCAACGGTGGAAGGCGAGCTTGGGACACATTTGCTTGCCTTAGAGGCACATGTGCAGTGCTTTCATGGGTCTGTCACGAGCTACTGAAGGTGATCTCCCAGTGTGGTGGTGCTTCAATCGAAGCTTCCTTAACTCTTTCAGATGTGTTTTCCACTAAAACGACATCAAATCCAGCGATGTTGTGTTGGTTTTTGCACTATGTCGAACAGTGAGAGAAAAAATCAATGAAACATCCACCTCCACAGCTGTTCAACCCGTGAAGGACCGTGGTGCTTGTTAGGTTATCCCAATGTTTATCAAAGATGGCATCGCGCAAGAACAACTATAACTATCAAAAACAGCAATAAAGAAGAATCGAACCTCAGTTGCCACTTGCAATCCTTCTCCAAGTTCAAGTGCAACTTGCCCAAGCAGCTGTGCTGTTCAGCTGAAGCGGCCACAGCCAAAAGAAGGGTCGCCAGCAAACATCTACTCATCATGGCTGCAAGGTGCGGCAATAATTGCTTGAGCTTCAAAAAGGGCAGCTGAACAAAAAAGCCCTGCATGCAGGAACTCCGACATAAATAGAAACGATGTCCTATATATATATACATACATAGTATTTCTTGCAGAGGAGTTATGTCCTATCTATTCTGGGATCGTTATTCTTATCTATTCTGGGATCATATACCAGGAATTTCGCTCATAAGTCTGCCACCCTGCCCATTCGTCTGTGCATCTTAGCGTTCGTGCAATTCTGTGCTGGAAAATCACCGAAAATGCTTCGGGAGCACCTTCAGCATCTCAGCACAGTCGAGATTGTTCGAAAAGGACACAAGCCCGGAGCCCGAGCCGAGCGCGCTCCAAGCCGACCCAGAAGACAGAATTATATCAGCTGGTATTGGCTCGGTGTGCAGACTGTTACTCGCTCACCTAGCCGCCCCATCTCTCCATTGATGTACTTTTCCTCTCATCTCTCGATTATTGGGAGCCCTATGACCACCCTTCATGTGCTTTGCCCGAAACCAGTGAGCAAACCCTTACAATCACTACCCCGTCGATGCACATACACGTGTGGCACAGCACGTGTGAGCCAGTCGACCAGTGCGCCTTCAAAACATGAAGGTGTCCTCCCAGTAAGAGCCACTGATAGTAACTGCCCCGCTTTCGCGCATAGTTGGCCTTAGACAGTGACCCAAATTTTATACAGCTTCAAAACGGCTCTGGGTTGCAAACTGAAGCAATACAAAGCTGGATGGAAGACATCTGGTAGTAAAAGGGAAAAGAATTGCCCAAAACAGTATCCATAATAGGTGTCAAAAGCTCAAGAATAATCGCGGGACAAAACACAACAACCAATCAACTGAAGAGTCGGAACTCTTGACAACATGGCTTCAACGTTGACCCATGTTGACCCACATCCTAAAGAAAAAAAAGATTTGTCCGCTTCCTCTATCAGCTTCCAAAGCTTTAGCTTTTCCTCTATCTCCTCCAAAGCTTTAGCCCTAACTATATCTTTGTTTTTGCTGTTTTTGCTTTTCTGTGTTTCTGGTAGCGATGACCTCCAACCTACTAGCGATGGCCTCCAACCTAATAGCGATGGCCTCCAACGTAGTATTAGTAGCGATGGCCTCCAACCTACTAGCGATGGCCTCCAACCTAGTATTAGTAGCGATGGCCTCCAACCGAAAAGCACTTCCAAAGCTTTAGCTCTATCTCATGGCATGGTTTGGGAAATCTTCTCCGATACATCCACGTCTGGAGTCTGGAGTTTCCCTGTGACGTTCAACACATCAAAGCAGTTTGGTCCGTTTGCCGTTTCCTCTCTACAGCCCACGCCACAGGTGCTCGATGCTGGACAAGATGTGCAACAGAACTCTGTGAGTCAAAGATTGGGCGAGTATACTGAGGAAGAAAATGTCTAGCCAGGATTCCACGAACTCATTACACCATGTGGTGAAAAGCCACAAACCAACGATTTCCACTTGTACACCTCATGTTGGAACAGAATTGTCTACCTAGGATATTACACCATCTCCCAGACTCGATTGCACATCCTTGCTTCCAAAGCCACCAATAAAGAGAAGAGCTCCCAGTAAGGCTTCCAAGCGAGCCAGAACACATAGCCAACCATCAGCAGGGCATACCTTGGGGTTGGACTCTGGATGAATGGATACATAGCTGGGCCGCCTACCAGGCCTACCACAAACGCCCAGTGACAGGGTCATCGCCCCACGATGGGAGGCTTTTTGGACCGAGTGCTCCCGAGAATCACCGCAGCGTTCGATCTTCTATTTTTGCTCTTCCTAGTAACACCGTTTTGGGGCGCAGCATTGGGGAAGCATCCCTCCGTCCCAATCTGGGTTTCGTGAACGAAAAACCGCTTGCCCTGGGCTCTCTGGGCTCTGGTAGCTTTGAGACCTTCAGACTGCCGACCGCCCACACGGCCACGGACCTCGGTCCCGCGACGACGGACGGATGGGCCGCGGGATGCTGGATGATGCGTGTAGAAACAAGTGCATCGCTACTAGAAACAAGTGCCTTACTAGTAGTAACAAGAAGCTACTAGGAACAATATATAAATTAGAATTAACAATTCTTCTTCTTGTTGGGACATTGACTGACCATCGCCAGCGGCTTGGCGACACAACCTGCTGCTTGAGCAGCGCCCCCCCCTCGATGTGCCGTTGGGTAAGGACATTGACCGGTTTCCCTACCAAACCTTGTGGCACACAGGAAGCCCCGCCGCCGCCGGTCTGACCGAAGAGGCCCAAGCTGCGCGAGGCCAAGAAGACCGAAGAGGACCATCAAAACAAAGTAGCCATGGTTCCTGGCTTAGCAGGTTCTTAGTAGGTCGTGGATGGGGCCGACCCGTCGACCCAAGTGGTGGCTCACACATTGTATGAAGTGATTCGAGACAAGCTCCGCAGGTGCCTCCTTGGCGGCGCCCTGCTGTTTGTGGATAGAATCAGAAGACATCTCTCCAATGAATTTCCCTCAAACGCATGACCTCTTAGTCTGCCGGGTAGAGTCATTTTGTTCACTTATTGTAGGGCCCCAAGCTGTGGTCCTTCCACGTGCACAGGGATGTTCAGCCACCAGAACACTTGCACCAAGAGACCCCAAAGGTGCCAATGGGGTGGTTTTGAGAATGTTTTGACCCTAAGTGAGTGGATGTTCTGGGCACACCAGAACTCCTCCATTCGTTCAGCACCGGAACTGCTGGTAGGGTCATCTCCTCTTTGGGCCAAGCTAAGTGGGGCACACCTGTTATTTGCTTTGGCTCCGAAAGTTTGCCATGGGTTCTTCACCAACTGAGCAAAAGCTGACTGGTGCGACTCGTAGAGAATGAGGGAATGACCTGCCTTGTGAAACACGCCATGGATCCATTCCCTTGTGAAACACCGTCCCAACATCACCGTCCTTTGACCAATGACGTTTTCAGTGATGACACCTTGCCGAAGACGACGACGGCGAGACGCACATCGACTGAGCTTGCACAGCCCAAACATCGAAAGCTGCCTTGTTGATAGGGATAAGGCTACCAACCAAACGGTCTCATCATGGCCAGAAGCACATCGTCAGCGCCCGGGACGACACATGGCCATAGCGATATGTCCTCTACAGACCTCACCAGAGTTTACCTCGTGACCTCACCGTGTTTGGGGTGTTGGGACGTTTTGCTACACTGAGACTCGGGCGTTCTGTATCACGTCCTAGCTACAAGCGCCTTGTCCAAGATAAATACACCTGGACACCCTGCTTAGCAAGAAGGTGGTTGTTGATTGACCTACAAGAAGTGGGGGGTGAACTTCTGCAAGAAGCTGAGCTCCTCCAGGCGCTGGGCGGATAGCGTTGTTTCTGACACCGCACTGTTCTGCATACCAAATTACAAACCTAAGTGTCTTTCTCCGTTTCTTCAGCCAAATCATTGAACTGGACTGGGTTCACTAGATGAGACGCAAAGTCAAGACCTTGTTGATGTTTTGAGGGAAAAACCGCTGAAGCTCGACGCACCTCTCCCATCACTCCCAACACCCCAAACCGACCGGACTAGACGGTCCGGACCGACCGTTTTCGTGGGGATCGCGTGGGTGTTGATGAGACGAAGCAAAAGACTTCCACTGTAGAGCATCCCTTTGATTGAAGGGAATTGACCACCATTCTACCCTATTCTGCCTATTATATGACATCAGTGACTATAGTGACTAGTGATGTTGAATGCCTAAGAGGGGAGATCCACGAGAGGAAACATCCCACCCAACTCCGGTGTTCGTACCACAGGTTGGTGTGGCCTCGTAAAAGCACGCAGATTGTGAAGCGAAGAAAACTGGCCTACACATCCGGCCTAAAACACATAGCGTTTTGAGACCATATCTGCAGCCGATCTGCAGTAGTGGTCCATGCGAAGGACGCACTGGTTCAGTCGCTTGCTGTGATGGCAGCGGGGTGGCTTCCTGAAGTTTTGACCCAACCGATGCCAGGAAGAGAATGGGTCCATCCATTGTCTGTAATTAGCCGTGCAAGTGGTCCTTTTCGGTCGTGAAATGGGCCATCGCTACCGTGAGAGCTATGGAGGACGCAAGACAAGAGAAGTCCATGTGGTCCATGCTCCTCATGGCGGTTCGGGCGGTTCTGGGGACGGAGATAGGGAGGTGGTGATGATATGCTGCCCAAAGCCTACTACCACATGTAGGCATCTCATCTCAGAATTAGGGGCCCCGCTCTCCTGCTAGGTTCTTGTTCAAGATGGGCATCTCATCTCAGCCCTATGTGATCCGATGTTGATGGCAAGCCACTAGGATTTGGAGCTCCAGGTGTGACCCATCCAGCCCATGACACATCCAGCCCTGTCCACCTGAAATCCATCCAGACAGACTCTGATCCACCTGACACCTCTTGACCCATCCAGGTGACACCTCTTGATACATCCAGACTGTGTCCACCAGTCTCAAACCGGGCTCTCCAGACGGCCGTCTCCAGCCAGGTCTCCAGAGTTGGCAGCTCTCGCACCAGCGGGGCTCATAAGAGCCCAGCTGCGGCTCAGAGGCCTCGACCAGCCAGCGGCCCTCCTGGAAGCGACGTTCGGGGCTGGTCGAGGCCACAAGAAGCTACGTTCGGGGCTCCTGGCATCGCTACGACTACTCGGAGCGATCGGACGCGAACCGAACGGGGCGAACCTGGCCGTACTACGAACGGAGCATTCTTACTACGAACGGAACAAGGAGCTACGAACGGGCCAGGGGAACTACACTCGTGAGACTCAACTCATATGGACCCTCGGACCATTTTCCTCCAGCGACGGCATCGCACGGAAAAAACCCGTAGACCGACCTGGTCAAAGAACCCGGTGGGTTATGGAAAGACCTAACCTAACATGGACCCTGAGCATGGCACCCTTGGAGGACCATGTTCCATCATTTTCCTCTACAAGCCAGTGGTAGATCTGCTTGAGAGTGGAGTGAAGCACTGTAATGCAAGTCCAAGACTAATTACAATTCTGAGATGCTGATATAGCCAAGTACACTTTCTAAAGAATCCAGCTGATCTTTCACTCTCCACATCCTATCTTTGCAATGATACAGTATATCCCGTGGCGTTGTTCAGCCAAGAACTATCCACAAATACTGTGGCCACGAGAGATCTCCGTGTTTGTGTCCAAAGAACAATCGCTTGTCAGGCCCTTCGAGGGTCGATTTGCCCATGTCCCACCAAACCGCTCAGATCTATGCCCATATGCCACCCCAAGACTGCCGTGGTGACTGAAAAGGTGTGTTCACCCAATTCAAGAAACCGGTTACACTCCCTGGAACTAACATGGAAGTGGAGAATGGCCCCTTGGAAGACCATTTTCCACTACAAACAGGTGGTTTCCCACGTCCATGTCAATTCCAGGGAGAGTCAATGACTCAGATGTTCACAACAACGACCACTTCGCAGCTGGCCTTCGGCCCAGCTCTTTCTGGAGCCCCTGGAATGTCCAGGGGTCATGGGTTTGGACCAGGTGGAGATGGTGTCCATAGTTCAAAGAAACTCAGTATCGATCGAACATCAGCATCCAACCAATTGGAACCATGAGTCAATTGACGATATGATATGTTTCTCATCAGTTATAACAATTGAGAACATCAGTATCCAACCAATAGAAGCCTTATGAAACCTTGAATATCCTTAAAACACAGTTGTGGCCATCGATGTTCCTATCATGGGGACAGCTTGCCAGTGTCCAATCCAATTTTGCGTTTTTGGAGATGCAAAAATCGAACAATTCCGCTTTGCTACACCAGCAACCAATGGTTCGGTGGAGATAGACATTTTAGTTGTATCGTCCGCCCACCCAATGTATATAGCGAGGGCATGCGAGGGCTACAGTGGCTACAGACTTGGATTGACACTCAGAAGACTCCGAATCACTCAGAAGCTGGCCCAATGAGGTGAGAAAAACATGATGCGGGGAACATCTTTGTTCGGAAGGTGATCATGCGACCCCCCCTGCTCCACAACGAGTGCCACGAGTGCGGCCAAGAACCAAATTCAGTTCCTTTGTGGTCTTCCAATGGAAGAGAGGCGTTGTTCCACCACAAGGAGTGTATGACCAAGCTGCCCTGCATCTGGTATCTGACTGCGATAGGAAAACACTCCAAAACACCAATGTGAAAAAAATCTTCGGACTTGCCGTTAGTTCTCCCGTTGGTTCTCCCATCGCCACTCGCAGCCAGCGCCTGGTTCTTCAAAGCATGACTTCACAAAATTGTACCTCACAGGAGACCGCTAAGATGCTTTCTTCAGCACAGCATCATTTGCTCGTACTTGCTCATGCACTGTAAATAAGTGATTGATCCCTCTCGTTGGTACGGAACAAGAACAAGTGCCTAGGCTGAATCGGGAAAGTCACTTAGAGCACCTTCTTGTGCATATTTGTTGTGCGAATTCTTTGAAGGCCTCACCAAGATGTTATGCGGGCACGGGCATGGGCAAAGGAGGTGTTCGAGCTCAAACTACGAAATGTTGAAATATATGTTATTGTGTGACTGACACTGCTGTGACTGTGACTGTGCATCTGTGCATCTGTGACTTACACTTCCTGTGCATCTGTTGCTTGCTTTCTAAATGCACGTAACACGGAAGATGCTCCTCACAAGTTCCTTTGTTGATCTTGAAAGGGGCGTGATATGGGTCTGTCGAACCACTTGAGATGGGTCCCAAAACTGCTTGGCACTTCTCCCTTCGCAAAGAACTGAGGGGGAGCTTCACAAGGGCCTAACTCATGATTTCCAAACACACCCACACCCACATACCACCAAATCCACCGAGCGGCATGAACTGCAGGGTGACCCACACTGCCAGCATGTAATGAAGTGCATCGAGCAAGCCGCTTTCGGCACCTGGGATCACCAGCAATGAACAGGCAAACTCCACCCAAAAGTTTCACTTCCCGACATCCACCAAGACATGTTCGAATCAAATCGATTTTAGTCTAGGGGGTAGACCTCAAACCAACAAATGTTCCCCAAAACACTGACCTCTTGTATCCTTCCGGTCAAAACCAATTCATCCTGCACGCATCATAGCTGAGTGATGTGATGTCAGCTGTCAACTCCATATTATACGCCCTTGTGGGCGTGTATTGAAATAGGGAGACCTCCCAGTTCTACCCCCAGGAATGTTCGGAAAACAGACCAGTCTACCCATTGCTTGGAAGTCTCCCTATTGAAAAAAACACGCCCATGTTCCGTATACCAGCCGCTGGTTTGCAGGTGGGAGACTTCTTGGATCTCCGGATGGATGACCCTCTCACCCTGTTCCAGCCTCCCTGGTTCCACAGCAAGAAATCAAATCAAAAAGATGCAACACATGGGTTTGTTTCGTCCACGTGCGGCTCCTGCTCACAGAAATCTCCTCAAACCTCGCCTGCAAGTTGATTTGCTACGCGCACAAATCCGTTTTGACGGATTCGAGACGAACACGACGGTCTTCTCGGGATGCGAGAAGCTGTGCACTTCGGGTGAGAACAGCGGGGGTAAGACCCCTGTTTGCAGGGTCGCGACAAGACCGCTGGGGATCCCTGAGGATATATTGCTGTGGAATTGCTTAAGCAGCATCTTGTTGCTCCAAGTTCTCCATACTCAAGACTCGAACTGGTCTGTCTGAGGGTGAAACCCCCTCCGGTTTTTCTCGCACCCAAGTGGATCAGGACCGCAAAGGATCAGTCCGAAGAAGTCCGAACATGAAGTGGTTGGACTCTTTGATGCGTTGGGAAATGAAAAACATCGACCCACAGTCAGACCATCTAAAACCGGCGCAACAAGTCTTGATCAGCACCACCGTCTTAAACATCAGTCTTAACCAGCCCAGGGGAGGATCTTAACATGGTAACTCCTCGATGTCGTCCAGTATTACCACAAGGCCGCACGAAAAGATCAAAGCTCCCTGCCTGGATTGCTGTAGCAGGCCCTCCAGGATTCATGCTGCAGGGATGGCTTCAAACACTCCGCGCCCTTCCTCAGATTGGGACTCTGATGGGCTGTAGGACTGAGGCAGGGTGGTACTCGGCAAAAGGTGCTTTGTCTACCAGGGGTCACATGGAGTTGGTGGTGTTTAGTCCCATCCAGTGAGTGAATGTTCTAGGCACCCCGACTACCTCCATGGATAGCACCCCTTCGAAACTCCTGGTCATGTGTTCTTCCTTCCCTTGGTCCTCTGTTGACTTTGGCTGAAAAAAAAATCGATGCCACGACCATCTCCTCTTGCGACGATGATTCGAGTGGCCCTTTGGAACTGGCGACATAAGGCTCGTGATTCGAGAGATGCAACCGGTCCCGGTCTTGACCCATTTTTTTGGGTCACTGGATGTGTTTCCCCTTCTCAACTGCCTTAGAAGGCCTTCCATCTTTCGACCCTTGCCCCTCCCCCCGGTGCGGAAACCGTTCCAAACGAACCCACCGTGACCTGTTCGACCTGTTCGTTTGGACCCACCACGCCAAGGCACCTCTGCAGCTGAAGGATCTTGGGCAAGGCCCCGAAGCCCGCCAGAGGCACCAAGGCCACCGCGCAGCACCTGGCGCTGTGAGCGACTCGAGTCGCTCTGTGAGCGACTTCGGAAGAAAGAGACGAAGTCGAGACCTTCGTCTTAGACTGTTGGGTGGAAGAAAAGGCATCGGGCACATGCGAAGGTGGGGGTAGGCCACAGTTCCACAGGTCAGTCATCTACTACAGTTCCGCGAGCAGCTCGGTGTTCGAGGGATCCACCGGAAGACGACCTGCGCAAGATGACGACCTGAGTCCAGTGAAACAATGATGAGTCTAGTGACTTGTGGGATCCTTTTCACGCACACAGAAGTCCAGGTCGATACTTTTAGGTCAACAATTGGTTGATGGGTACGGAGCCATCCTCTGGGTACGGAGCCATCTGTTTAAATTGCGTGTTAGTCTTGTGCCATCTACTCTGAAAGTTACAGGAGCTCAGATTCTGCGTCCCAATCTCGAACGCGAAAAAAAAACACCGTCTGCGATGAGTGATGAATTGGAATGATGCTTTGAAAGCAGCCGGGTCTCTTGATTTGACATGAAAACGGCAGATGCAACAGGTCTCCAGAAGTGCCTCTATGGTAGAAAGTTTGATATTAGTTATTGGTATTTGCAGGCGGTTTCAGGCTCCCAGGGCCTCACACAGCGTGCACATGTCAACGCCATGCCTGCCAGTGGCATGGTTTTGCACTCGATCCGTGCATCCAGAAACTGCCTGGGTGGTTTTGGCCTTGGCTTTCCCTCTGGAAAACCCAAGGGGCATCTAAGTTGGGTGCTGGAAAAGCACGATTTCGGTGGTGGACGTTCCTAGGGGAGTAACAGTCAATGGAGAATTTGAGTTGTCTTTTCGTTCGTGAACTTGTCACTATGGAGACCTATTGAGTTCCTTTGGAGAACAATTCATATACAGTAGATCTCCTTAGATCATATAATTAGTTCCATTGAGTGCCATGTGAATTGAGCACTCCTCGTGGCTGGGACCTTCGCTGCTATTAAGCCAAATGTGTCCTTCATCTACCCAACTCACATCACTTTTCCCCCACAACGACATCGCTTTCAGGTGAAACAAACAAACACATTTTGCCTTCACCTTTCAGCTGGAGTGAAAGACATGTGCGGTGAGTCACTCTTATAGCAATTTAATTCAAAGTCAGTGACTGTTATCAAAAGAATAGTCTTTGGGTGACACAAAAGGGAACTTCGTTCACCTCTCCTGTGCCTATCGTCATTGGAGTTCTAGTTCGGGACATACAGATCTGCCATTTCTACGTCCAACACAGATCTTCACTCCATCACGGCCCATGAATTCGACAAGTAATGATTGGACTCGCCAAACCGACATCTCTACCTTGAACAGTGCCCCTGATCATCGTTTGATAACGACATAATATCTTGACGACAGCAGGCCGCTATCTCAGCCTCTGAAAGATCGTGAGGCTCGGCTCATTAGCGTTCCACCCTTTAGTCACCCCATGTGTCCTATGTTGTGGAGAACATTGTCCAACTCGCCCAATCGACCCGACGTCCACCCGACCTGCAGGTTCGACGCCCGGCGAGGCCCTCGCCATGGCGCGCAGAGGCTAGAGCGGAAATCGGGCTTCGTTTCGCCCAAAAGAGGAGCTCCCTTGAAGCTTAAGCAGTCAGAAATATGACGAATGAGAACGGAATGATTTAATGGAAACCAACACCGGGCTTCTTGACCCACTTGAAAAGAAGTATTGGTTGAGCACCAGTAGCTCTTTCGCTACTGTGTCAACTGTGTGAACCACATGGTCTTCAGACGATCAAAGACCATCTTGGATCGCAACTGTAGATTGTTCGCTATAGTTCTAACGTGTTCTAACCTGTGCTTTCTCCCCACCCCAGGTCTGAAATATAGTGTCAGTCGGTGGGTGCAGCTTGCTATTTTAGACTCCTGTTCAATGAGATGAGTGATGAAAAAAAGCAATTAAAATACAAAAACATCCCCAACTAAACTTGATCTC